TTAGATAATGTTTAAACAATTAGAATATTCAGAAATATTATTTAAAACTCACTCCTAAATTTTGGTCGATGTGCACACGACAAAAGTTCAATTGGTAATGAGTCTCCGTACCGCTGAAGGTTAATTTAATGTTCCGATTGTCAGTGACCCGGAATTATTGATAATTTTTTTTTAGTACTTCAAAACGGTTTCTCTATTATACTAATCAATAGTTTTTTGATTTCTATCAAAGGTTATACTTTCATAAATATATTCCAATGTCAAATGTAATAATTTATCAATTTTTTAATCTATAACTGGCTGAAACTAAAATTACCCTTTCATAATATTAATTTTTTAGTTATAACTGCAGTGATTTATTTTAAATAGAAATTTATGTAGAGAAAAGTTATGTAGTCAAAAATCAAGTTAAAAAGCGATCATCGCTGCAGAAATATTAGATAATGTTTGAACAAGTAGAATATTCAGAAATATTATTTAAAAACTCACTCCCTAATTTTGGTCGACGTGCACACGACGGAAGTTCAATTGGTAATGAGTTTCCGTACCGCTGAAGGTTAATTTAATATTTCGATTGTCAGTGACCCGGAACTGTTGATAATTTCTTTTTAATTTTTCGAAAGTATTTGTCTATTAGACCAATCAATAGTTTTTAGATTTCTATCGCAAGGTTACACTTTCATAAATATGTTCCAATGTCAAATGTAATAATTTATCATCTTTTTAACCTATAACTGGCTGAAACTAAAATTGCACTTTCATAATATTAATTTTTTAGTTATAACTGCAGTGATTTATTTTAAATAGAAATTTATGTAGAGAAAAGTTATGTAGTCAAAAATCGAGTTAAACAGTGATCGTCGCTTCAAAGTAATCGCGCAACATGTAAAAATTTTTACTCGTTTATTGTTTCAAATTGCAAGGAATATATGTATTATGTAACTATCTTTTCCGTTATTGTAAATAATATAGTTTAATTATTATAAATGAATTGTTCAAACTATGAAATAATGCTTGGAAGTTCAATCACTGATTAAATTGCTGTAAATAAATAGTTAAATTTGTTAAATAATATATAAAAATATCATGGAAATGCATTATTTTACAATTTGAATAATTCGTTTGAAACAATTAAATTATTTTATTTCTACAATATTTCTAGACACTATTTTATAATTTCCACAATTTTTATATTACAATTAAACAATTGAATTAATTATTTCATTCAATATGTCACCGTCATTTCTCTTGAGTTTATTTTTCAAGACTCTTATAAATTATTAGTTAAATATTTTAAATAGCAGTTAGAAATATTACAGAAGAGAATTTATTGTTCAATTGTTGCAAATAAATTATTGGAAATATTAGATGATGTTTAAACAATTAGAATATTCAGAAATATTATTTAAAAATTCACTTCGAATGTTTGATCGATGTACACACGATGAAGGTTCAACTTGTAATGACCTTTCCCGCTGCTCAGCCATCGGATAAAGATCCCGAAAAAATTTCGTGTTCCTCGACTCGACCCGATATTTCGGGTTCTCGCACACCTGTAAAAAATGTGCCAAAATTGAATGGAAGAATTGTCAGGGAAAATATTGCTAGAACCGTGATAATGCTAAAAAGCGTTTGTTGAATTGGACTGTAGATTAAAAAGCTTAAACTTGTAAGGTTTAAGAACAAAAAAGCCTGTGTGAAAGATGGTATGATAATAGCCACGGCACGAAAGTGTAACCAAGTTTAGACGACGTAGACGTTGGACAGCTACTATTTGATACTGTATGGACACACGGTTTTTTTTCCACATACTCGTGATAGACGATCAGGATCGATTCGTTTTAATAATACAAAATTGTCTGGAGGAGGTGGCGGTGAGGAGGGTAAGAAAGTGTGTTGCATAATGAATGACATCGTGCGACGAAAGAGGGTGAAATTCAATGCGTTCGTGCTGATACGATGTGATTCGTAGAATTGTACTACGCCCTTCTACAGAAAGGAACGCCACGTTGGCTGACTTAATTTACGTGCATACGTGTTAAAAGATATTAATACTTTCATTAATATTTTCACTTATTCTGTACTTGTCTGTTGTAAAATGAACAGCTTAAAATAATCTAATTTGATTCTATGAAGCTTCGAGTTATTACTTACACCCATGTTCATTGAATTTCTGAGATTAAAATACAAAATTACAGAGCACCGAATTTGAAATTGTTGTCCCACAAATAATTACAAAAGATTTTAACACAGTTAGAGTTTATTATATTTTATTCAGGCATTTGTCAAATATTAAAATTAAGAATTATTTTTTAAAATAATCGATATTTTAAATACATTTTAAAGCACTTTTTGTTTTTAATATGCAATATATATTGTTAGTACAACGGTTAATATATTAATTATATTTCATAGATTCTTTATTGTATAAAGTATACTCTACACTTTTTCTAGTTTTTGCAGAGCGATGTATCTACGTTTCTTGCGTTATTACATCTTCATATCATTAAAAAGTATAACAATCTAGTCGTTAATAGTTTAATAAATTTCATGATAACAAAACAAAACAAAAAAATCGGGAACTTTTAATATCACAATAATCGTCTTAACGACTTGCGCTGGCAACTGATTGCGGACCATAACGAGTGACCAAACCGTATACGATAATTCGTCGCTTTCTTTTTGAACTCGTCGATATAATAATATCACTGGATAGAAATTATTATTGAGAAGTATTAAATTTATTATTTGTTTTGCCTCTTTTGTTTTACGTAAAAATATTCTTGATACTAAGGAAATATTACAATTTTGCAAAAAGCTCAAGAATCCCAGATGAAAAATTTTAATCGATAACAGAAATGAAACAGAGTATATACCACTGTTCCGTTCGTCGTGCCACCGCAAATGACAACCGATTTAAAAATGCAAATGCTATCAATCGAACGAAATCGGCCTCTCCCCTTCTATGTCTTCTTACTTCCAATTTACCCGCAACTTTCTACCATCCCTCCTCTATCGATTTCTTTCTAGCGCATCAATCATTTCTGTTGCACTGTGCCTGGTGCTCTCGGTTTCTATTTATTCCTTCAGCGTCGATTCGTAGGTGGTTAGGTGGGTGGAAAAAGAAATAGTCGGCAGTCTGCGGCCGACGTTCACCGACAGCCATGGTCGTATGGCAGCGTTCGTTGTTCGTGCTAAGCGGAGAGACGTAAAAGCAAAACTGAAACACCACCTGTAGTTAGAGACCCGTGGTAGCTATAGTTGGCGCGTTCGCCTCCCCCGAACCAAAGAGGGAAGCTTTCCATAAATAAAAATAACTACCTTCCTCCCTTGCGTCTAGCAGAGAGGGGGGAGGGTCCCTCCAGCAATTACGCTCCCGTTTTCTATGGTTTTTCGTCGTTTGCACAGTCAGCTGCGGCTAATCGACTCGAACCGCGAGAGGTTATTGCGTTCGTGCTCGCGGCACGCTTTGGAACGTCGTCGCGACGCTTCGTCTGGAGAACTTTTCTCATAGCGATTTCTCCCCGCTGTTAATTTATTACTTTCACCCGGGGAACAACAGTCGTGAAAGTGTTGAGACAACTGGTGTGTTGATTGACTTCGAGTGGTGCGAGATTGGTACATTAAGAGGGGTTGGAAATGGAATTGTTTCGTGAAGGCAAAAGGATCTAGAGGAGATTTCGAGGATTACACGATCTGTACAAGATTGAGGTTTTTGGATTATTTATTAGTTTTCTCCTTTTCTAGATGTTATCTTTAATCATTTTTTTATTTTTCTCAAGTTATCCGTTATGTTTCGATAACTTAAGAATTTATTATTATTTTTTTTTTCCTTATAGAAATCCTACAATATCATTTTACATTTACAATTCTTACCAGAGTCTTAGAATTTTTAAAATTCACGAACATTTCGTTTTTCTCGGTCTATACATGTAAATTCGTTTTTATCATTTTCTCCGATCTTATTTCAACGCTGCGTTACGTCTATGAAAGTACAAACAAATATAAAATTGCATCTAGCGTGAAGACACGAAGAACGAACGGATCTGAGTGCTGTTGATTTGGAGAATTATGGAGGAAGCGAAGAGATCAAGCGTTCGCATAATACGCGGCAAAGTAGCAAAGAACTGTAAATGGTAAGCCAAGAAATGGAATATCGATTGAACGTCGGCAGTTTTTAGCTATAACTGTAACTGTTACGTCCGAGCGAATGATACGTCCAACCGTTTTAGATTTTTCCGTTTTACGTGTGCATACGTTATGATAGCAAATTCCAGTCCGTCAGCGGCGCATTGATCTTTGTTTTTTTTTTTTTTTCACACCGTGAATTTTTTTCTTATCGCGTTTCACAAGTTAGTTCGATGCAAAATGAACAGTATTAAATTATCTCATATTTTGTACACTTTGAATTCTTAAGAAGAAGAAGAAAAAAAATATTATCAGTGTATTTCTCGATGTTGGCAGTTTCATTCATATCTTCGTACAATTATATCATACGAATTATTTTTGCAAAGGGGGAAGATATTATGAAATATTAATACTGCTAATTTGTTTCTTCATAAGTACGTATATTGTACGTCTGGAGATTGATTTCTCAATTCGAGTGGTCTTATTTTTATAGCAATCTCGTCTTTCACATGTTCAATTCATGTTTTCCGAGTCAATCTCTCAAACTCCAACTCGGTTTGTTTTTTCCTAATGAAAGTTGTACGTATACTCTCTCGTCGCATCTCTCACTACATTCTTTCGATTTATTTTTCCAACTGAAATCGCTTTCTCGTAGCATTTTCTCTCGTGTCCAATAAATCATTCGATATTTTTATAACACGTATAACAAATCGCTGAGACGAAAGAAATTACAATCCACGGAAATAGAAAGACGGAAAATGTTAAAAATAATTGCCACAACGAGTATTACATTTACTACGATATTATTATCAGTGGACTAAATTTAGAATGGAGCAAAGACTACTACTAAATTTTCGATACTTTATATATTTTTTCGTCGTGAATTTTTGCCCCTGTAAGTGCATAAATATCATAACAGTAAATTTATTATTCCTCATTTTTAAAAGAAGAGAAGATCCTTTCTTTTTACTCTTTCAATTTCCCACCTCTCGCTGACAATTTTCTGTCGTCTTTCACTCCCTAGATTAAACATCTCTCATTTTCCATCTTCCGCCTTCAACCCTATTAATCTCTCGATTCTTTCGAGGCAAGCGTGTCACCGTAGTATATTACAGTTGGTAGCGTATTACCAAACTGTCACCTCCATTTTGCGACCTCGATTGAGGAACATCTCATCAAAGGCCGGGGATTTCTCGCCGGTCGTAGCCAACGTCGAAACACTGCTCTCGTTATCGCGGCCGCTTTTGGCTTTAACCTGATTCTTGCCAGCGAAAGCAATTAAAACCCGAGCATCTAGCGTGCCCGTGTCAAAGGGCAACGGCTAGCATATCTTTGACGAAGATACCGCAAGGATGTGCTGTTGGATCCATAACCTCTTGCGCTGGAATAACGATCGAGAATTTTCTATTCCAGAATTGTAATATCTCCTCAGTTTCAAGTGTATTTAAGTAAAACAATTAATAATTAATTTATTACCTCTCCATAATTTCTATCCAGCGATGTCATACTGACGAATTACCGTGTACGAGTTTTGGTCACTCGTTATGGTCCGCAATCAGTTGCCAGCGCAATTGATTAAACGGGACTGTCGTTGTCTACTACGTGTTCCAGGCTGATCGATACCATTGCGCGGCGACGTTTTCGCTTTTAGCTTCAATTCGGCCTTGTTTCGCCGAGCCGGCGCGGTTCTCGATTGTCTTTGAAAAGCAACAGCAAAGAGTTGCATCAGATTCGATTCGATGGGCCCTTGTTCTGTCACTCGTTTTCGAGATACACATTAAATTACATGCTCGGGGCACTTTCAGGGTCCTCGAGGCTTCATAGATGGAAATGAGATACACCTGCTGGCGAATGTATTCAAATTTTACACGCGTACATACATATATTTATAATGTACAATTTACATATAGATTACAATATCTAGATAAATTTTGAGAATATGTTATGTGAAATTTTCATGCTGTAACGAGATGCGATGTACATTGTTGTAATTGCACCGATAAAATTCGAGACATTTATTTATTGCAAACGTACATTTAGCAAGAATGAATAAAAGATTTTTAAAATATAGTTGCGTCATTGAATGCAAGAAGGATCTCAGTGACAAAAATGATAACGACAAACTAGAACATTTTAATCGTGAAAAAATATTTTTATTTTTTATTTCTTTTGTTTTTTTTTTTTTTTTTTTTTTTTTTTTTTTTTGTATAAAGTTCTTGTAGTATAAATTCGAATGGAAACGCTAGCTCACCTTGTTAGAATCTTGTCTCACTAACAAGTAAAGATATCTCACTAAAATCTTACACTTGAACTATCTCGAACTATGTTCCTGCTGTGGTAATACAAAAAGGAGAAACAGCTTCAGTGAAACTTTCATCTCGCAAAGAACCTGCTCTTCTTCCTATTTTCTGTGTAAATCCCCACGTAAATCCACGGCTTCCATCAATCATTCTAAATATCCTGTGCGGCCTCGATTATCAATGGCAGTAAAACGGCCACTTGTAACACTTAAAAATGAATCCCTGTCGGCCGCCATAAATCTCGTCAAATCTCGTGCAATGCGATATTCAAATAAAACACTGGGCGATTCGGCTCGTTGAGTAGTCTTTATTAGACGATAAATTCTGGTTTATTGCATTGTCGTATTTGGTTTATTGTATCAGTGGATCATGCTTGGCAACAGTTTGGAGTTTACATCGTTAGGACTTAATTTTATTTCGCATTTATTAAGATAAATCCCTTTAAAAGATATCCCTTATGGGATTAAAAGTATTACGTAATGGTTTAATCATTTAACATTTGGATACACGGTGATGAAGAAAGTTAAATTTGATTTACGTTTCACGCGTAAACGGTAGCGGATTTTTGTATGAAATTTTTCTTTCGTTGAATTCGCTTCAACTTTAGTTCAAGTTATTTTAATAGAGAATACTTGGATGTCATAATATTAAATAAAAAACAGAAATATTATTATTACATCCTTACCAACGTGTATTTATTTTATAATTGCAATTAACAATAAGCATGCCTTTGTATTAAATGTTATTGATTGTATTATATATTCAGTTTATTCAATATTTCATTCTTACGAATAATTATTGATTTTATTGAATCTGTTTATTGAAATTTGATTTCGTGTCATACATATTTATCTCTAAATAAATATCAGTTCTATAAAATAAATAATAAAGGTTGCCTAAATGCCGCGATAATAATTCATCGTATACCCTTCGAAATGATGCTTAATTTCCCACGGTAATTTATTTCTATGGATAAAGATATAATCACGTGAACTTTGACATCCTCCTATTTAAACGTGGAATTCGATGGAATTTCCAGACTTCCATTTAAATCGACAATTAATCGTGCCAATTGAATTTTTATTTTTTATTAAATCATTTGTAAAATTCGTCTCCTTTTTATACATACACATTTAGGCATTTTACACGAGTTATTACGAGAAACTTTTATGTTAGAAAATAATATTTTTAACTAGTTCAAAAGATTCGAAGTCCAACCTTAGGCTAAATCTCTAATCACTCAATTTTGCACATAAAATCTAAACGGAATGTTTCTTTTGTAATTTCTTTCAGGCTGTGCTCCTTGACCCTGACCCGGCTGGTGATTTTACGGCCGTTGGGTTCCGATCTAACCTCGATTAGCATCGCCGTGAAGATGCAGAGCTCGAAGAGGACCTTGCGCTCGAACGAGATGGCTATCCCGACCGGTGGCATGCTGGACACCGAGCTCGAGCTCCAGTTCGCTCTTCAATATCCGCATTTCCTCAAAAGGGATGGCAACAAGCTGCTGATACAGCTCCAGAGGAGAAAACGATACAAAAATCGCACGATGCTCGGGTACAAGACTCTGGCCGAAGGAGTTATCAATATGGCTCAGGTAAGAGTCAATAGAATATCATTTGTCGTGTAGAGGAGTGCTGTAATTCGTTCGTTATTACGCGAGTGCAGTTTAATTTTCACATGTACCATTATCGCAATGGTGATTACACTAGCGTTCGAATCCCCGAGAGATTAAAATATAAATGCAATACGATTACAAAAGAATGTAAATGACAAATATTTTAGTATTCAGTAGGGGTGTGCGAGAGTCGGAAAATATCGGGAAGAGATCGAGTCGGGTTGCCGAAAATTTCGAGATTCCCGAAGGAATCGGGTTTCCCGAGAAAGTCAAGATTCCCGAAAATTTCGAGAACCCGGCTACCGTTTCTCGAACTACTGTACAATGCTGTATAGCAGCCTACAAAATATGTAAATACACAGTTCAATTTCTTCTGCCCAGTGAAGTTATTGGAAACACGGATTCTAAGAATCGTGCGACCTGATGTAAACGAACGCGTGACTGCGTGCTTAGTACTTGGACATTATGTACGCTGTTGAGCAGTATCGCTGAGAAACTCGGGAAGTTCAGACGTATATTTCAAAATCTGTGTGAATTTAATAAAGATTAAAATTCTTGAAAAATAATGTCGAGTGATAGTGAGAGTAAAGTTGTGGTAGCAGAAAGTAATGCAGAAGATATCGTCCAAAGGGAGAAGGTAAAGAGAAGCTTTGTTTGGGAACATTTTTATATAAAAGGGCGAAATGCACGCCACGTGAATGTAAAACTAAGTATGCAAATACTACTGGTTTATTACGCCATTTGTAGCATATGCATCCAAACATAAGTATACGTACTAGAAAAGAAACTGAATCGATGTAAAATTTGTCGCGTGTACACGTAAAATAACTAGACTAACTGCTAACAAATAATAATTAACGAAAATATTCAACTTTGATTCATTCGTCGATAAATTGTACGTAAATTGCTGATTTATATAATAATTATCACTGTTTCTCAGTATGATATGATATTGGATTGTATTTTTGATTTATTCTCAGTTCATAAAGCAGCTTGTTAAAGCGCAAGAGGTTAAACTCAAATCCAAGAACCATCCCATCCTCGTGTCTTCAGCTTCCTATCCCAAACCCCCTTTTCACCGTATCAGGCTGTGCAAGTGGTTCGTTCACCCGAGCGAAACGCACCGGGCACTGCGGCCGCGTGTCACTAGGCCAGCAAAAAAGCGACTCGTTTCTCATCGAGCTGTTGCACCTGCGTGCGTCCGCAGGTTCTCCAGAAGCAGATGGACCTGGAGCTGGAGCTAGTCTCTGACAAGGCGGAGAAATATGGCGGGCACTCGGTGGCGTTGGCCCGCGTGAGCGTGGTCGCGCTCAGTTCCCAGCCGGTCGACCAGGACAAAAGACTGATGAACGACCCGAACGAGAGGCTCTGCCCCGAGTACAGCGACGAGGAGGAAGAGTTCAGCTCGGAGGGCGAAGCTGAAGGCAGCGACAGCGAGCCGACTCTCGAGATGCACAGGCGGAAGAGCCGGGCGAAGATCCCGGCGAACGCCAGGGTACGTTGCAATCAAATTTCCAATTCACTTCCACAGTTCTGTATTTTTATTATTTTCCGAACACCGTGTTAGAGTTTCTAAATATTGTAACAAGTACTTATACTTCTTTTTTTTGTACATTGTACGTATTCTGCACGACGTTGTCTCTTTCGAGGTTTCGGTTCGAATTATATTCATTATAATTGAAGGTATAAATGACGCGTCGAATTGGTAAACGGAAAATTAATATTTCTTTGCAACGTTAGGATAATGTAATGAGATAATAGTCAATGACGTCAGTTATGTGGTAGAATTTCTCATAAATGTAATTGAAAACGAGAAAAAAAGAAACCAAACATCTGTAAGTGAAATCAATGATTATTGAAAATGCAAGTCGCAGCAGGAGCATTGCGAAATAAAATAAAATATCCTTCCACGATGCAAAACGCCCCCTCTCTGAAAAGAAGATTAATTTTGATTAGCAATTTTAAAAGATTATTTGAATCAGTCACGTCGTCAGAGTACATATCAATATCCAATATTTCACAAACATTCGTTGACTGTTGCAGCAAAGGAATTTAAAGCAAAAGTTCATAGCGTTGTTGAAGAGACGATTCAGAGTGTCGGAGGATCTGGATCAAGATCAAGAAGAGATCGGGCAGAAGCTCTCTGGTAAGCTACAGATACAGCATTACACTACGGCTGCGACAAAGCAAAGCTCGCGAAAAAAAAAAAAAAAAGAAATTGTGCCTCTGTGTCACAAGTTGTCTTGTTGATTATTTTATAGACTCGTTAACTGGATTTGTTAAAGGCGCAGAGATGGAAATCGAGGAACTGTTCGACGAGCTGGAAGACTTGTCAGACAGCGGTCCAGAATTGGATACGATGTCTGTCAGTAGCACGCCCAAGCCATCGCTGCGTCCTTTCTTCAGCTCTAGTCGTTCGCTTTTAGCGCCTCCTCATTCCGGTGAGTGAATCGCTTTCGTTTCATGTAAAAACATCGTTGAGTATCGTAGCATTTTGTAACGTGTGAATCTCGATTGGCAAATGTACGAGTTGCTTGGTACGGCAAGCAGTGTAAACGGAGATTGAAAAGGGGAAAAAAAGATGGGAGGGGAGCGTAATAACGTGAGACCCGTAGAGATCGATCTAATTATTCCCTCTAGTCGAAATGATTGCACACGCGATAAGGTCATTCGACGAGTGTTACTTGTCTTTCTCGAAGACTTTCTACGAGTGGAAAAATTTTGTGGAAGAATTATTTTTATTATTTATTTTTGAATGTGATTGTTGTTGACATTTGATTCGTTGCTTTGTGGATTTTTCGTAGGTGTTTGTTGGGAAAATTTATTCTTTTTCATTATAAAAATTGAAATGTAAAAACTTGAAAGAAAGGTGAAGCTTAAAGAGAATTGTTTTTTAATAAAAGTATATCGTTGATCTAATATATTAATTGCAGAATTAAATAAAAATAATCTTTCACAAATATGAATTGTTGATGTAACATGGTGAACAGCTGATCGATACGAATTCTTAAAATAAAATAAAAATTTTCGACATTTGTAGAAAGTATATTCAAGATATTTTTTTCGTACTTATAATTCGGCTGTAATTAAGGTTTCACTTACTTATTTAATTTAAGAATTCACAATGTCGTATATTTATTTTTATTATGCTCCACGTACGTATTTTACGTTGAATCTCCATTTTTTCCAATAAAAGTATCGCATTATTGAGAGTTATAACTCAAGTACAATCGAGAGAGCAGAAAAGTTTTCTATTATCTGTCGATTGGTTCTGCAAACAGTAACGCTAGATCAGAACGGTTTAATTGCAGTTCCTTGTTGTCCCGAGTTTCTATATTACGAGTTAATATTTATTCTCATACACCGTGATTTCTAGCATATATTTTTCCCGTTATCTATTTCTATTTTATTTTATTTTAGTAAGTTTACTCATTTTTCTTAAGTTTAACAATTTATCTGAAAATAATTGTACATCGTTGAATAATTTTTATAAAAGTGTCATTTTAATATAATTTGTAGCCGGAGAATTTCAAAGTAATATAAATTCGATTACCGTTAATAATTTCAATGATTCTTAAAAATTTGTTTGATCCGGATTTTCTGAAGAAACAAAAGAAAAGAAAATAATTTAACTTTACTCATTATCAAGCCCCTAATATCCTTTTTTGATATTCAAATCATTGAACTAATAAATATTTTAATTAAAACTCGTATTTCGTTCAATTTCAACGATTATTATTTGCAATTTTTATTTCCACTTAACCTCCGCGTTTCAATTAACAATTTTATCATGCAAGTCCAAGAATACATTTCAAACGCTTGTGAGTTCTAAATGTATCAAGTAACGTCGAACGACATCACGTTAATTGCGCACGATAATCTAGACTCTAGACAGAGGACAATCATAAATGGCCAAGTAAAAATAGAGACATAAATGTTTCGTTGCCAATACGGATTCAGATCTGTTTAACTAAGTGAAAGTCTGGTGCGTTGGCTTTGCATTGTTGCATGTTACGATTCGGTAGTAGTAACCAACGAGGAGACCGGAAGCACTCCTGCGACGGCCATAGGTCAGCAGAGCATAGGTCAGCCAGCTAAAGAGAAACATCGTATCGGACACACCACTCCAGGTATGTAAAGGCACACCGAATCGTCACGATTTCAAAATGATAAATTAGCTCTGGACTTAGTTCTTTTCTTTCTCTCTTTTTTTCCTTTTTTTTTTTTAAAGAATCTTTGCTTCTTCGCCAAGCAAGCATGGCTGCGTGAATTTTAAACAGCATGATACTATTTTTTTCTTTATTATTTCGTTGAAGCTCTCCTCTCTCGCGATTTTCGATTCGGTAAAGAATAGATTGACGAATTATTATTAGCATCTTCCTTTTTTACGTTTGTATATTGGCATTCGTTAGAAGTGCATTTGAAGATGAAAACGAATTATGAAATATATTTAATATGATGCGACGTAAGATAATTTGAGGTTTTCAGGGAAATAATGTAGTTAATAATTCGAATTTTAATACGCATTCTGCAATATTATCTACGAAATAAGGGAATTTTTACGCGAAGTGCAATTGATCGTTACATAGTCGTGTGTTAATTGTTATAGCTAATACTTATAATTATATTTATGGCTTTGTTATTTATTACATGTAACTAATATCTTCGGCCAATATTTACAATATTTTATTTTCTTTATAAAAAAAATTACTCAACTGAAGAAATCATTTTTACTAGTTTTAAAAGTTAAAAATTAATCAAATTGAAAGTCATTTTTATTAGTATTTTTAAAAATTAAAAATTAGTCAGTGAATTTAAAACAAAGATCCATTATTATTTCAATGAAATATTAGGAGAAATGTTCCTGGAAAAAGAGGAAGAATACTCGACAGCCACTGTGACAAATCCTGAACAGAAAGAAGGAACGTAGGAAAAAAAATCATCCATTACGATTAGAGAATTAGTTAGCTAGCCAGGAAACTGAAATACATATCGCGATGTAACGCAATTTTGTAGATTGGAGAAGGAACTCCAGCGCATGAATGACCTCTTGCTAATCAGCAGAAGCTTGGTGTTTCGTGATCAAAGATATGAAACTCGGTAATTAGATGCCTCGTAGTTTCACAATAGAGCATCTTTAGCAATGATTTTTCCATTCGTTACTTTATATCCAATGTATTTCTCTGTAGTAAGTATCACCAAAACTTAGAAACACTCTAGAAATAATCTTTTTTTTCTGTTGCGAACACTGAACTCGGGCTACCCTAACGCAAGAATAATCGAAAGAAATTTTGTTTTTTTTTTTGAGCTCGGTCTATTATTTTTTTTTTCTTGTTTGTATTTTTAATATTCTCTTTGTGTATTTGTCGCTTGATACTCAGAGCGATAACTTCGTTGCGTTGTCTCGTTTCAATTTGGAAAAAAATCCCCCACTCTTCTGTGATTTTCGTACAGATTGAATTAATTATCGAACAAATGTACGGTTAGTGAAATAAACCAATACAATGGAATAAAATAAAACTAATATAATAAAATAAAACAAAAGAAATGTCATTGTTTGTATTTTTTTTTTTTTTTTTTTTTTTTTTTATATCCAAAGCCTCAAATTTTATACCGTGTATTATTCTTAAGAATATCAATTATCGTGTATTATCCTCGGTAACTATTAATCTTGCGTTGTGGCATAATTACAGAATTAATAGAAAAGATCCCTCGATCCTACTAGATATTAGAGCACGTATGTAAGACTAATAACTTACCTAACACTTGTAAGAGAATGCGATGAAAATAAACGTTTATATGGCATCTGATTTCTTTTGTAGTCATTCTTTTTGTTTGCTTCTGTAACACTGTGAAACGAAGTTCGATTTTTCTCAATCGAAAAGACTCGAGGGGGAAAAGAGAAAACAAGAATGCGAGATTCTGATCGAACCTCGAAGATTATTCTGCAAGTGACAAATGGTTACGTTGGTCTGTGTGTTTGTGTGCCGTTTTTTTCTTTTTCTTTACGCCTTTCTGTACGTAGAGAATTCTAAAAGAAACAAAACCGAAAGCAAACTGTAACACGAAAAAACCCTGTCCGCTGGCCTCTCTCTTTCTGCCTCTCTCTATCTACTTGTACGTACGTATCTCTCTTTTTATATTATCAACTACTTTTACATATCTTGTCTCTGTTTTTCTTTACTAATTCTTTACTTCTTTTTTTTTTTCTTTCTCTTTTTCTCTCTTTCTCTCTATCTGTCTATCTGTCTCTCTATCTCTGGTCGCTGTACCGATTAACACGCCACACGCTGTTCGATTGCGAGTTTTCTCGACGTTTCTCCAACGTTATTAACAAACGAACGATAAAGAAAAGAAAAAGACACATTCGACCGGCTTGAGTCACGAACGCCTGTTGCCCGCTGCATTTCGCGCGCAGATTCGTGTGGTGTACCCTTTTCTCTTGATACGTCTTAGTAAGTTTTCTGAATATACTTATTTATGGCGTGTATATCGTTGGTTTTCGTGGAAGAATGATACATCTTGAGAACCGTGTCAATGCTGAGTGAGACAGTCTGCAGTCCTGTCTATTTAACAGAATTGTATTGTTCAATTCAAAATATAAAAGTTAGTATTTAAATTGGAAATCTGATCGATAAGGCGGCAGCTTCATCTTCTTTAATTGTCTGTTCAATCTTGGAAATAAATTTTCTAATCTTATCTTTGATCAATCGTTTCTTAAATAAATTTATAATTATTTGATATGGTTTTCTCTTATAATAAATATATTTTTAGATATTGGAACTAGCTCCTTGTTCTAGTAAAACTTAAAAATTTTTCGATATTTGATCCTGTCACTCTTTTTGTAAACTAACGATATACATATAATATATAATAATGCGCCGATTAATTAAACGTGTAGTTCACGTTAGTGTAATCGTTTTTTTTTTTTCTTTTTTTTTTTTTGACGCGTTAATAGACTTAGAGACGTTTCTTTGTCTGTCTCTTTTTTTTTGTGTGTATTTACTTCTTTGTGAGTTAATCGATCGTGCATTAATAATTGTTTCGTGCGTTACCGATCGTAACGTTCAGGCCATAGTCTAAATGAAAGTTTATGTTAAGTTATTATTATTAATTTAAGTTGTAAAATAAAAAAAATATATATATTTAGAAATTAAATGTTTGTCGTATTTAATGATTAACATCTAGTTTTTTCTTAAATAAATTTAATATATATATCAAAAATTTGATTTTAATAATTTTAAAAATCTCAATTTTCTCTAAATAATTATACTTCTCAAATAAACGACATTCGAATAATTCATGTTCCAATAATTTCAACGTTCCCTGAAAACAAATAAAGTTGGGGACTTGCGAGGAGGGAAATGGCCTTCGAGCTTACGTTCGGTAACGCGCGCGCGCAGTTTCCCAAGGATACGATGCAATCGCGCGACGAGGAGTAATGAAATCTCGTTTCAGAACGCGGCGTGGATAGGCAAAGCGACGACAGCTCGAGAAGAGCGGACAGCGATTCGCACCCGGAGAATTGGACGGATCACGAGGCGAATGATCCACCGAATTACGTGACCGGCTCGCCGCCGAAGTCGGAGCAGCACAACAAGACGGAGAGCAGCGACAAACGGAGCAGGCTCTTTACCCGCGACAGAGGCGTGCCTGGCACCAACAAGTCCAAAAAGCACAGCCTCAGCGTGGACCTGAAACCTCCCGTCGATTTGAATAGCTCCGAGGTACGATGGAGAACGATGTACAGGCGTATACGTATAGGTTTGCGGCACCGATCTAACCAGGCTGTAAATTAATATACCCGACGGTGGCACTGATTGATGTAATTATGCTCAACGCTGCACGTAATGTGTCTTGAGCGTTGAGGATGTGGCGCGTAACAAGTGATACTGACTTAATTTATGAAACGCAATTTGAAAATCATGTGGATGCGAATTTTATGATAATTGAACGCGTAAGTTAATTCCATCACGATGGCTGCTAATATGTTCTGTCAGTGTCGTCAATGGTGGTAATCGTAATTTAAAACACATTGTGATTAACTAATAGTACAGTTTAATTCGATCCAGAAGAATCGAATGCTACGTGCAGAAATAGATCGAAAGAAAAGAAATTAAAACATTATCGTTTTCGAAATTATCGGTCGAAAATTTGCGAGATGTACTTTGAATTTGATTCATGAACAATCGTACGAAATTTAAGTTGAACGCTCTTTCCTAAGATGATAAGTTCGAGGATCTGTCAGGCACGCGCGTACCAATGCAATTATTAATTAATCATATTTTTTCATAAACTCGAGCTTAAATGTAAAACCATCAATCTCCCTTCTATCTCAGTTTATTCTCGCGCCATCTGGGATCACCTCTCACGGTCGGTGAGACCACTTTTCACCGAGACATTCCGCGTAGATAAAACGAAAGAAATGAAACTCGATTCATCTGGATGAAGAAAACAGACGGAGGTCGGTCTAATCTTTCGAATTTAATTCTCCATTCTTGATCGGGACGAGCAATATAAATCCTGAAGATTGAATTTTATTCCTCTCTCTCTCTCTCCGGTTGTAACGTTTCGCTCGTACATCAAGTTGGACGCGTATTAAAACGGAGAACACATATTGTTTCAGCCGAGGAAAGCGTTGGTCGAGCAATTAAGCCGCGTTCTACCGGATGACAGTTTGCCGGACGCGGTGTCATTGGTGTCGCTGGCTGATCCTGGCGCGGCTGTGCTAGCCACGAGGCTTCAAGAGAGGAACCACAGAGTCCTAACGACCGCCTCTCCGGCGGATATTCGTGCCACGTTCACGTGCTTGGTCACGCGAATACAAAAATTGTAACTATTGCCGCTTATTCTCTTTTATTTCGAATTGCGCTTAATTTTGCAATTTTTTTTTTATTTAATTCGGCTTCAATTTTAATTAAAATAGAATTAAATATCCCAAAATCTTTGTAATTAAACATTTGATGATACATTTCTCGATAGTTATTAACGGCTAAAATTTACATGGCACCGTGATAATCTCATCAATAACGTTGTTACAAAAAAAAAAAAAAAAATTGCAATTCAAAACATTTCATTTGCAATTCTTTTCAACTAAAATTTTTAATTGATAATTTATGTTTCTTTAAGATTTTTGTTTGAATTCTTTCGTCATTGTGTCTCCCACTTACTATTGACGAAACTCAGCATCAGAACAGTTCGACGAAATTCGAAGAAATTATAGTATTTGTGACATTTGAATAGGATAAGTTATTGATGACATAAGCGCCGCAAATTTTCAATGAGAACTTCGTGTTCTCAGAATAATTTTTTCGTAAAAAGAATATCTTTCGCGCGCATTAGCATTTATCGCCCGACGTTGTTTCAAAACTCCAATATTATTACAAGATTACTTAATCTGTCATTGAACAGAGGAGCGAAGTTTTTTCTTTGTACAATTGTGCGATACGTAACGACCAAAGGAGAAGAAACGTTCTACAATATCAGTTGGATAGAATCCATATAAACGTTTACAATCAATTAAATCAAACTCCGCTAAACGAAATTAAATCATATTTTTCCCATTTTCAGTTGCAACAGCTCCGCCAAGCCGCCAGCGCCGATCAAAGTGGTGATCGCTGGCGGTGACAGTTTCGTGAATGCGGTTCTCCGCCACTACGTGGATCAGTTAAGTTTTCGACCGCAGAATTATCTCAAGTTCTTTGTCGTGCCTCTGGGTTCTAATACGTTGTCGAAGTACCTCGGCTCGATAGACGCTAGGTACTCGATGCTATTCGGCGACGAGTGGAAAGAACTGTTGGAAAGGGAGGGCGGTGGCGCGAGCGAGGGTGCGGCTAGAGTCTCGGAGTATTTGGCGTCGGCTGGTACAACCTTGCTACTGCCGATTGCGGAAGCCATGGTTACGTACAGGTACGATATTCAGGCGGTTCGATCGATTTTCACTGAAAGGTGGAACTGGTTCGAATGGAACTACTATGTACTACAAGGTGAAACATTCGACAAGGGTAGAACTTTTAACATAATGATTTTAGTGGGGAAATGTCTTTAGTGGGGAATGAAAATTGGATGAAAATTAATGACGAAGATTTGGAATAATACTTAATTGACGAAAGTTTTGGCAGAAGAATGGTCTGATGAATTAAGAAATCTCAAATAGATTTATAGCTATAGAAATCATTGTAAAGTCGTATTAAATTCTCGATAAGCGGTAGCTACAGCAAATTTCGTTTAAACCTTTTTTTTTTTTTATTAAATTTCTCCTCATTCGAATATTTTATAGCTTTGCATTATTCTAGTGTACAATGATTGAAAGTCAAAAGACATTTACAAATATTATTATTACACTCTCGCTGTCGTATATATTTATTTTAGAATTGTACAATTATTCCGCGTGCATGGTTGTACAACCAAAGTAAATTTAGCTCTTGGTCCGTGGAAATAGCTCTAGTTTTAAACAAACATTATAGGCGATCTCGTTATGATAACAAACACCGTCCCGCTTTAATTTCGCAGAGAAACGGACGATAGTAGCCAAATATTCATCCCATTCATCAACGACGTCCGCGTGGGCTGTCCAGACAGCAGTTCCTCCGCATCGGTCGATCTAGATGAGAGCAACGTGACCATGTCTGGCTCTCCACCTTCCTTGCCACCTCCTGGTTTACCTATTCCACTTCCTGGCAGATTAACACCACCGAGTAGCCCGAACGTTGGCCAACCAACGAGAGAAGGCTGGGAGCCAGTCGAGTTGCAGCTCGATTACTGGAGCAAACAGACACAGGGTGAAAAGGGGAAGAATACATTGAGACAGGCGTTCAGAGCGTTACACGTTCAGCGACTTCCTCCTCTGGGTGAAACTCCCGGTCACTATCTGTCCATGAACTACACCACAAAGGAGAAGAAACAAAAAAGTATGTAACAAAATTTGATACGTTGCGAATTAGCAACGTTTTTTTATTTCAAACATCAATTTGTTTTATATCGAATTAGTAAGGGTATGGAATTTTAACGTTCGCTTTTATTTAAACGAGAATGCGACTGTTTTTGTTATATAATTATAATATAATTTTAATTTAATTTCTATGCACGATACGTTGCTTTTTCATTAATCTTTTTGATAATTAGATGAAGATCAAATTACATTGATAACACAATCGTGATCCGTGACATTCTTCAGTAGTTATTCGTATTTTAGGAACAGATTTCTATGAAGTTGTTCATTTCGTTTCTAGTAATGAGACTGGGTAAGAAGAAAGAGAAAGAGAAGGAGAACGAGCCAAAGAGTCAGACGGTCGAAGGCGTGACGCGACTCATATGTTCGGCGAAGACTCACAACATTCCATTAAGAGGTAATCAAAGTGTTTCCCGGGACAAAAGAAATCGAAATATTCCTCTCTGTTTAATGATATTCATAAATCGAGTTATCTGTAACAAAAATTGCAATCAAATAATTTTTCATTTCGTTACCATGTCAAGTTTTTACATTCTTTTTAAAGTCGTACAAGTTAAAATTAAACGTATAAAAAGATGTACGCGCTTTCTCGACAATTTGGCAAGAAGAGTTCACCTGTATCTGTATAATTTCAAGCACACTGTTGTAACTTGTTGTTTCTTAGTGAGCATCGATGGTACTGAGTGGTACGGCGTGAAATTCTTCCAACTGTCGGCGCAGTGGCAGACGCACATCAAGACGTTCCCGATAGCCATGTTGGAGTACAGTCCGCAGCAGCAAGCCCCCAATACCACGTAAAAACGCTTCCCTCGTTTCCGTCAGTGGCCAGACACTTTGCCAGATTTCATTTGTGTTCATGGATATTGCCAATTAGGATCGACAGCTTAGCTTTACCGCGCAAAGAAAAAAGAAAAAAAAAAGGAAAAAAAAAAGAAAAACCCCCGATAACCATCAAATCCTCGAGACCGAAAAGAGAATGAATAAAAGGAAAACGTAGTACGCGATAGAGTGCGAGTTCGTGCAGTGGATAGTCGGTTGCTTGAAACCGGAAGTCGTTGGAGCTGACACAGGCAAGTATCTGAATGCTGCCTTTCCTTTTGACTACCATCTACCATCTTGTTACTCCTTGTCGTCCAATTAGTCGGTTACGTTTCCAACGAGACGGAATTTCACTTGCGAAATTGTAATTTTTCGGAGAAATGTTCCGCGACACACCGAGATCAGTGTAGAAATTTCGTAGAAATTCGCAAGTTAGCGACGGTTAATTCTGGAACTGTACTTCAACCGTACTTCAAAACGTACTGAACAGTGGTAGACGTGGTTAACACACATATCGTATTGCAATTAACATAGATAAGAGTGACGACGATGGTGATGGATCTCTGGTTGGTTATGCGAATGCCATGTACTTGTCTGAACATACCAGCGATATCACGACTTTTCCGTAGAGGTGGAAAATTCAGAGGAAAAACCACATTCGCTTTCTCTTCCATCCCTCTCCACTCCCCACTTGACGCGTGCATATACATATAGGACTTTTTTAAAAGGACGAGCATAGGAGAAAAAGAAAAAAAAAGAAAAAAAATCGATCGCCTGCAAGTCGAACTGTGGACGTATTCGCTATGATAGATTCTTCGCGTAAAATCGCGTAATTTGCCGAGCAGAGGTTAGCGTTAAATTATGTATTTATTTAATTAACGTGTATTCTATATAATATACGTGTACATACATATACGTACGATATATATCGCATATAGCAATGAAAGCATAGAGCGACATTATCGAAAGAAGTCTGTGATACAGGCGAACATTTCTTTTTAGCGCACAAACCTGTTGTTCGGAGTGTGACGAGCCGTGTACAGTTTCGCGAGTCCGAGCGAGAGATCTCGGGGAAAGGAGGAGGAGATTCTTCTCCGAGGAGAGAGAGAGATCAATGAAAAGGAAACGAGAGGAAAGAAAGAAGGACAAGACGATGACGATTATTAGGAATAGCTCATTAGTTATTATACTCCTCTTCTCGTTTAAGATTTCGACATATTTTTTGTATTCCATTTTATAGACTTTTTAGCCTCAGGCTGCTGTAGCTTAAATACTCTCTATTTTCAGATTTTTATTATTTAATACTTTGATTCCTTGTTAGAGACGTTTCTGACCCTTGACTTCGATGTAATTATAGAGTATACTCATTCGCGTATTATTGTTTAGCTGTTAGAGAAAGAGAGAAAGAGAGAGAGAGAGAGTGAGAGAGTGAGAGAAAAAATAATAGAAATTATTCGTCGAAAGATATTAACAAAACAGAAAAAATGATATCGAATGACTATGTTCTCCTCTATAGTATTGATATATACTATATCAAAGTACGAAATAAGCACGATCGAAGAAGAAGAGATCGTGATGAAAAGACAGAACGGAGACTTTCCACTTTGCTACTTTTGTTATTTAATTTCCCTTGTTCGCTGTTCAAATTCAACGACCTACCGCGCGTCGATCGTTAGTTCGTAACGCACCTCTTGTCCCTTAGAAAACGAAGAAGACGAAAAAAAAAGGTATCATATCACGCGAGGCGATGTAGGAACTAATGTCGTTTAATATTGCTCTAGAAACAGAAAAAAAGAAGAAAAAAAAAAAGAAAAAAAAAGAAGGAAGAGCGAGCGCGAGTGAAATACACAATAATACCTATAAATACATATAATACATACGTATTAATAATTTGAGAACACGAGAAGAAGCGAGTACAAACCGATAGGTATGTACAGCAGCAACGTACTTTTCGACTTCTTCCTTTTTTGAAATCTAGAAAAAAAACACACACACACATACACAAGGAACGACAGAACAGTTTGCTGTTCACTGTTTCCAGCGACTTGTCCGTCGCGTTGACTGCCTAATGCCAAATTGAGAAAGAGAGAGCTACAAGCAGAAATAAAGAAAATAACAGAAAAAGAAAGAAAGAGAAAATGGAATCGTTTAGTACGATCATTTGTCCAGACAAATTTTCCAGGGGAAAGAGAATTTAGATCGCAAGCAGATCTTGCATAGATACGCGTGTGACAGAATGAGCAAAGAAAAAATGATAATAACGCCCTCTGGAATGGGCGATTTTTACATACGTTTGCCAATATAAGAATTACAGACAAACAAATCTTCTCTATCCATGCCACGTACACGTACGTATTTATCACACGAACGTCCGTACACACCATGCAACAGTACGTGTTCTCTCTGTTCACCCTTTCCCTCCCTCCACCCTGTTCTTTGCTAGTCTGCAATTAGTTTGTAACGAGTTGTATCGAACTGTGCAAATCGTAGTCCTACATTTTACATCTTTAAACGGCTGAGAGCAATAGCCCGTTTTGTGCGAGATAGTTGACTTAGAAGAGAAAGAAGTAAAAAAAAAAAAAAAAAAAAAAAA